AATATCAAGCAGCAAATATTTGGTATTTGTACATGCTAAATGACAAACAATCAATTATAAAAATGTGATTCAATTAATTTTCTGTCGATCAACTAATCGTTGCAGCCCTAGATCATACTACTAAAACCCAGCCGGTCTCCCGCCGACCTTCACGTATAATCATAGTGACGAGGGCTGTGTTTGAATGTGTTTATAATAGGTATTTTACCCCTCCGTTGGCCCAAGGGTCCAAATCACCGTTGGAGAAGATAATGTTGCTGGCTGTGGACAGAGCTGGGTGGCAAAAACAATATGGTGAAGGTTAGATTATTAATAATATATGCCGTTAGGTGGATGTGTTTATCCAAAACATTTGGAAACGTTGCATGGGTGGCTCCAGTGGGAAAGGAACCCCTAAATCATAGCCATGCTGGACCCACCATGCCCCACCAATCGCTACACCGTCATTAAATTACAATATTTGAATGAATCATTTTGATCAACCCTTGCTGGATCCGAGTATATTCTGGAAACGAGACTCCGGACTGTCACACTACGTTCTCTGGGTGCGTTCTCGACCCCGTCGCCCAAAGCTCCTCTAGAGTGCCGTTTCTAAGCCATGTCGCACCAAACTCTTAATGTAGAGTCTCTTTACTAGACCATGTCCCTCAGCTCTAGAATATAGAGCAGTTTTTTTTTACTTTTTCATCTCGGGACCCAAAATGTTTTAATTTGAGTGTGTCCGTGGGACCCGACCACGTGGGACCCGACTGCTGATCCTTTTCATAAAAGAAAGGATCACCAATTCCGGTGTGCTCAGAGTTTTCCGAGTGTTGTGTGCGTTAAAGGTCCCCTATTTTATGATAGATAGATGAACCTACCTGTTGGTTCAGTCCACTGGGTAGGCTGACCCATCAATCATACATCTGGGTGGACACTCCCATGTGTGTTTGTGATGGCTACATCAATATCACACCTGGTGGTTTAATAGGGGACCTTTAAGTCGCGACCCCACTCCAACTAGATCGCAACCGATTTTGGGTCCATAGTTTAAGAACCCCTGCTCTGGAGTGTGTGAGTGAGATAGTGAGGGGGGGGGGGTCTCACCGTCGCCCCAGTACTGCGTCCGGAGCCAGCCCGGTCGCGGGACGACGCCCCAGCGCTTGGAGCAGTATGCCTGTCGCTCCGCCTGTGTGAACGTCATGGGAGGGAACATGTCGGTCACGTTGTTGCTCTCGAAGCACAGCTCGATCTCCGTGCACGCCTGTAGGGGGGAGGACAGACGCCATTTGTCAGCGGCACACCTGGTTGTCCTCATGGTCCTCTCATGCATCATAATGGCTTACGGTCTGTTTATGTTAGTGTTGTTCAGGCAGATTTGAGTGTAATGTTATCTTTCTTTCTCAGCTGCGTCACTTAGCCTCGCTGTCTTCGGAAAAAGTACAATGCGCACATGATTCCTTAAGTCATGTTGAAACTACATTTGATGTTATGATCATAAAAATGACCAGAGGTGTACTCATACACAACCAAATCAACTGATGGAGAATGGATCCACCGAAAATAAATGCAGTCATTGTAAAGGAAGGGGTACAGGCATCTTAAACTATTACTATCCAGTCATTCAGGAGAGGTTTTATCCATAGCAACTTGCAGGGGTTAGGGGGCATCTTGCTCAAGGATGCCTACAGGTTAGGCTGCGGACATTGCCTTTTGGCTGTGAGTCGAAGTGTGTGTGTGTGCATTAGGGGTGTCACGAATTTTCAAAAGCAGGATCGACAGGATTTTTTTTAAAGCTGTGTTTGTGGGGCTGTCATCTAGGGGCTCTTTTTGTTTTTGTGTTAAATAGTTATTTCATCAATTTGGTCAAATAAATTATTACATTTTTACCATATGGCCTTAGTGTGGTACATTCCTAAACAAATATAGTGGTTATATCACACATACCATGTAGCGTATCTTTTTAAGAATTTGAAGTTGTCGGGGCATAAAACCAATGATCTGTTGATCTTCACCAATCAAGACTCGATAGTCTAACAATGGCATAGCTGTCAGTGCTGAATTGTTTTAACACAAAAACAAAAAGGGCCACTAGATGACAGCCCCACAAACAAAAACAAACAAAATATGTTTTTTTAATAATTTGCTCGAATTGAAACCTTAAAATCAAAAGTCAAATCAAATCGTGGATTTGGAGAATCGTGACACCCCTAGTGTGCATGTGTGTGCCTGCGTGCGCACCTGGTAGTCCCAGGCCAGGCTGTTGGACCCCAGGCCACAGCCGGTGGGGTCAGCACACTCCACATACAGACTGTACAGGTCGAAGCAGCTCTGCTCCCCCGTAGAGTTGTACACGATGCCTGCATGGTACACACACACACAAGCTACTGTACTATACTACTGCTACACAATATACACGACTACAGTACATTATTATAGACCAAAACACTACTGTTCAATATATGCCACTATAGGAGGTAGGGGGATCATGATTTTCGATGACGGCCCCACAAAGCTTAAAAAAATATATACAATTATGTTTGTTTAAATCGAATCATGGATTTGAAGAATCGTGACACTAGAATAGAGAAAATCTTGAGTCCATGATAATATATGTACTGTAGTTTAGTCTTTACCTCTGAAAAGCGAGACATTATTTACATTTCTCTCCACTAAATGACCAATTTGTCATTGAAACACGGCGCAGGCGGCCATGTTTGCACTCACCTGAGGTGTTCCTCAGGTTAGCCAGCAGGTCGGGTCCACTGAGCATCGCCTCGCACGCCACCTGAGGAGCGACCAACGCGCGTTACCATGACAACAAGAGCATGACAATGAGGTGGGTGAGCGCACACAACATTTCCTGCCGTACATACTATGTCTTTGTGTATCAAACATTTTTCAAGGTTTCAAGGTACCAAGTCTGTGTACAGGAGTGTATTGCTTTAGGTCATTAAAGCGATACACTCCTGTACACTCCTACACTCCTGCTCAGTGCAAGCTGCTCAATGCAGCTTGCACTGAGTAGAATGTAGATACACAAATATTGGGGGACGAACCCAGAACCTTTAGGCGTCAAACACCCTAATAAGTAGACTATCCTGCCCCTATACTCACTTCTAATAATAATAATAATAATAATAATAATATTAATAACAGTCATAACAATAATGGTAGTCGTGGTACCTTAACAGGGTGGGCGGGCATGTCACCCCAGAAGTGAGTGCTGTAGGGGTAGTCCAGCATGGCCAGGAGGGTGAAGGCGTTCCTCAGGAAGCCTTTCAGCTGCCGGATGTCCTGAGGCGACGACGGCGTCTTGCACAGGGCGAAGGCCGACTGCAGACGCTCGTACGCTATGGGGGGGGGGGGGGGGGGGGGTCAGTTATTTTAATTTTACGTAAGACGATCGTTGTATCCAAACTTTTTGACTTCACCACATCCTATTATCAGGCCCAGATTGTAAAACAAGATTGAAGTTTTTAATTTAACGTTTCACCCACTGTATGTATTCAAGTGAAATCTGTGTGAGAGAAAGTGAATCGGGAAATACGAAGCCCAGATTATAGGGTTTTTTTTACCCTGGTGCTCCGCTAGGTCCTGTACACGCTCAAACGCTCCCTTCACTGCCGCACTGCATGCTGGGGCATAGCCCTCAAAGTCCTGCAGCAGAACATACATCAAACTGAAACATTCACATATCAAGACCTCACACTGTGAATATGTGATGTTCAGTGGAGGAATGTGAATGTGAAAAAAGCCCCATTATTTTCTATGTATACGTATAACGATTACAACTATTGAACCTTGTCGGCGTCTCTGTACCTGCCCTTAATATCTGACCACACCCACCAGCATGGAGCTCCCTCCTTGCTGGTGGGTGTGGTCAGATATTAAGGGCAGGCATGGGGGGGGGCAATAGTCTAGTGGTTAAACTACTGTATATCCCCAGCCAAAAGGTTCTGGGTTCAATCCCCATGTCCCCCAATGTCCGCAGTCTACCTGTAGGCATCCCAAGATGTCCTAACTGACTACCTGCTTCTTAATGACGTGTGGAGTGTGTGTGGTTGATAGCTGGTTTACAGCCTCACCTAGCCCGAGTCAGACTTATTAGGCGGTGGGGCTGCACACCTGTGGTGCAGAGCAATCATGGCACCCAGGATCAACCGGCTATCACCACACACACTCAGGAGAGAGCCACTGTCATGGCAGCATGTACCATCTGCTCGGCGTATAACATCTCCCCATCTCCAATAAATGAATATTTAATGCAACATCTATCTGTGTCTCGTGTCTGAGGAGCCCAGAAAAAGCCACTTATGTGCGTGTGGCAAGAAAGACTGCTACAACATGCATCTGGATTCATTGTAAGGCTCTTTGGATAACGGCGTCTACTACATGACTGAACAGTCATCAGGGGTAAAACTCACGGATGTGACGTCTCTGAAGAACTGCGCAGGGTCTCCCATCCCGGCTGTGGACAGGACAGGGGCGCTTGCGGCCAGGGCTCCTGCCACCAGGTTGGGGTACCGCTGCCTCATGTAGGCAGACAGCATGCCTCCGTAGCTGGGGGGGGGGGGGGGGGGGGGGGGTTGATTAATGTCAATTATAAAGCGGATTATTCCGGTCCTTGTTTCTGATTGGCTCGAAGCCGCTGTAAAATACTCACCTGCATAACAATTCATTTTTAGTATTAATCTCAAAGTTGTTTTGTTGTGAATGTTGATTTATTTGGTGGGTTAAGCGTGGATGAGTGGAAAGAGTTTAAGGCACTCTGCTTTTTTCATGCCTAACAACGCCCCCTAGCTGTTCTAAAATCACTAAACAATGCAGAATTAATACAAAAACTAATCTTGATTGTTTTAGAGCTACATTGAGTTTTTTTTGTGCAATTTACTCACAAAGTTTAATCAAACCTCCAAATGTAGCTCTATAAAACAATCAAGATCTCCTTTTTTGTCTTCAGATTCACTGTTGCCTGTATGTATTGAATTCCAACGTTCACAGCACACCTAACAGGGAGTGGTGCTGACTAGCTCAACTGGTAGAGCATGGCATTAACATTGCCAGGGTTAAGGGTTGGACTGGTATTTGGTATTGTAAGACGCTTTGGAGAAAAGAGTCCACCAAATGCCACACACACACACACACACACACACACACACACACACACACACACACACACACACACACACACACACACACACACACACACACACACACACACACACACACACACACATATATATATATATATATTTTAATATTTTAATTTTAATAGCCTATATACCTAGGTTAACTAGTGTGCCCACCTGGCTGGGACCCACTGCACTAGACTGTTTGATCCATCTCTTGCTTTTCTGGCTAAAGACACTCAATAAACAAATGACTGTGCAGTTGACTGTGCAGTCACAAGACATATCTGAAATCCCCGTGACTCACTTGGGGATAAATGTGTCCGCTATATAACACTAGTTAAAACTAAACCACATGTCTAAGTCTGCACTTTGTCCAGTTGTTGCGGTTAGGAACTGTGTCAGCCCATAAGAGCGTGTGTAGTCGCTCCAACACTAACCGTATCCCCCATTCATGTCCTTAGCCTCGCCTGTAAGTCGCTTTGGACTTACATGCTAAACTAAGAACTAAGAACATTTTCTTTTTTCTCCATTTACCCTTACCTGCCGCCAAACACGATGACGGGGCAGTCCACCGCCCCCAGCTCCTGCTTCAGCCGAGAGATCATGAGGGCGTAGTCGGCCAGCGCCTGCTCCACCGTCAGCAAGCCCACCTGGGGGATGTGGAACGACTCCTGGCCGAAGGGAAGGGACTTGCCGTAGTACCTCTGGAGGGGGGGGGGGGGGGGGGGGACGAAAACACAAAATGTTGTGTTTTTTTTTTCTTTGCAGGGTTCACCTGAAAAAGTATGATTCTTGGCGAGCTCTAGATCAAACTGACAGGTTTTTTTTCTTTTTTTAATCTTGTAGTGTACTGTTTGAACTGCACACAATGTAACATCTAAATACTAGTTCAAGTTCAAAGTGTTTATTATCATATGCACAGTAGAAAACATGTTTCCCTGTACAATGAAATTCTTGCTTTGCTGTCCGCAGAATGCCAACCAATGTAAAATGTACAATACTAAAAAAAAATACAATATATACTAAATTTAAAAAAAAACTAGTCAGTTCTGTACAGCACTAACTATTAGTGGCTCTTGGACCTGGACAGCAAATCAAAATCAAACTTTGCTCACAGAGGGCTTTCCTCTGAGCAGCTTATTGATCATAGGCTGAAGTTACTTTGGTCTGTTGTTGTCTTTTGCATTTTCTATTTTTAGTTCTTTTCTCCTATTTTATTCTCCTTCTTTAGTGTACACTACACCTTTTGCTGATGTAACAAAATAATTTCCCCGCTGTGGGAGAAATAAAGCATCATCTAATCCATGTGAAACAAAGTTATAAGGAAGGAAGTGAAATAACAAGAAGTGAGCACAAGGATGGGAGGAGGCCTGCGGGTCGGAACCGCTGGACCGGAAACCAGAAAAGTCGATTCATCGAGAAAAAAAAAAAAAAAAGGTGCGTCACGGGAGGAGCCGTTCATCATTGACCTCCATCATAACCCACCTCTACCTCCACCTAAATAATGCCTTACGTGCTCAGCGAAGACGACCAGAGCCCGCTGCTGCTCGGCCAGCTCGGTGAGGAAGCCGGAGTTAAGGGCGAAGTCCCAGATGTCCCCCTCGTTGCCCGTGTAGAAGAACAGGGGGCCATGTCTCCTCTCCCAGTACTTCTCTGAGAGACACACATACAGGGGATTCATGGACCCCAATAAACCCGATACAAAACGTGTATTGGTGGATCAGTTGTGTGTGTGTGTGTGTGTGTGTGTGTGTGTGTGTGTGTGTGTGTGTGTGTGTGTTTTGTGTTACCCGTGATGAGGTACCGCTGGCTGAACGTGCCGTTGCCCATGCTGTTGAAGTTGAAGTGGTCCACCATCTGCTCGAAATACTTCTCATTGAAATGTGGTTGGTCCAGTCCATGGTGTCGTTTGGACTAAATGAAAATGAAGGAGAAACAGAAGAAGAATAACAAACAGAAGAAGAACAAACAGAAGAAACAGAAGAAGAAGTCGTCATTGTTGTTAATTGTTAATTAAATGCCTTACAGATGTGAGGAAAGCCAGTGAAGAGTGTCATGGGAAAGGTTACTTTAAGGGGGATACGTGTAAACAAAACAAAGCAGAGGGGGTGAAGGACTGTTTACCTTAAAGTACCGGCTGGGCAGACTCTCCTGCAGCCCTGCTAGGACACCCAGGAGGGTTAGGACCGCAACACAATGCATATTCAATAAATCTAAAGTTGTAGTTTGATTTCCATGCAGTCCGTTTTGGTGCTCAGTCCGCTGGTTGCGGTAGTCGCGTCTCTTTTCCCGAACCGATCACATGCTCACTGCTGCGTTCAAGTCACATGGGACATTCCGCCTTGCGGAAACCCGTTCAAGCCGATATCCAATTGCTCATTTACAACTTGGGATCGTGTGACTTTCTGAAAGGTCCGATATATACCAGCAAGTGGTACTGAATAGCACACCGATAATGAATGAATACAAATTGACACCTCACGTCGGCTGAAGCCAATGTAAATTGTGAAGTTCAATGTATTATAGGTCGTAATTAATGTAGTTTTGCTGCAGTTTCAGCCATAGCACACTAGTCAAAGATACCGGTACTAGAGAAACACAAGCAGTGCCATAAAACGGGCGGTCTACTGTCGTGATGTAGTGACTTGCACATTGTATTGATGGAAAGAGTCTTTCCCACCGCTAATCTTCCACCATCAACATGACTTGAACGCACCAACGTGCGTTTCAACACCGCCGATCTTCACGGCATCTGATGGGTCTAATCGTGTTACGGAAGCGGAAGCGGAATGTGCTGAAATCTGCGAAACAATCAATGTTTTCCAAATCCTTAAACCAATCATAGTGCGGCATTTCACGATTCGCCCAGTCATTCAGACAATCAGATGTGTGTACAAATAATAATCATATTAATAATATGATTATTAATAATAATAGTAATTGAGCTAATGTGAAGCCGTGTCATTTATGTTGTATGGTGGAGAAGAAAGGAAGATGATAGGCCGACTCGATTTAGGTGGATGGTAAAAGAAAAAGAAAATTGAGAAAATATATTTTATTGAATCGCCCTCAGCTACTTTAAAAGCAACACACATTTACCTTACTACACATGTAGCTGTGTTGGTTACAAACCTTATGAGGTCATAAGGTTTGTTGGCATAGATCATAGTCATAATTAAATAAAAAGGGGTAACCACAGGTATTGCGACGTCCCATCAGCACAGTCACGTGCGTCATTTTACATAAATGCCAACTTTTTTATGATGCACCACATCTTCTGGTAAACAAACAGGTGGAAGTCAACTGCAATGCTTTTATTTCCTGGTGCATTCCAGGCACTAGGCTACGTGCACAAACACCCATACACCCCCCCCCGTGGTGACTTCCTGGTATGCGCTGGTTGGAGGGAGGGGTGGCCAGTTCCACAGGTGTGCGTGCCTGCTAGATAGAGAGCAGGTGCAGCTGCCCGGGGGAAACTTCACTGAACTCTGCTCGGAGTTTCGTTTAGTAGACGCAGGTAAGTGATCCTACTTTAACATTTGTTGTAGTTTTTTTTTTTAAATGACGATTCGCAAAACCCAAGAGTTCATGTGTTTGTTGAAGTAATTGATTTTTTACATTTATATTTACGTTGTAGATTACATTGTAGTTATTTACTTGTTTGGCATGACATTTCACTTATAAATAGACATGTAGCCTAAGTCATATTTAAGGGGACACCGACATGAAATTAAAAGATAGATAGATGGATTACTTTATTTAAAACTCATGTGAAAGATAAAAGTAAACAACCAAGCAACACTAAAGTTGATCCTCTCTCAAACGGATTTAAACCCCCCAGTGTTTGATAGTATATAATACTATAGGCTAATACTCCACTATACTACAGGATGCTGCACCTATATATATATATATATATATATATATATATATATATATATATATATATATATATATATATATATATATATATATAATGCTATACTAATAATCTACTGTACAGGCTGCTGTACGATACTTTATATAATACTATGCTAATACTCCACTATACTACAAGATGCTGTACGAAACTATGTATAATAATATACTAATGCTCTACTATACTACAGGTTGCTGTACGATACTATATATAATACTATACTAATACTATACTAGCCTACATGATGTACACAGAGCTGCTGCGGCTGGGGGGTGGATACTCATACTCTACTGTAATACTATACCGTAATACTATACTGTTACTATGCTCTTCTGTACTGCAGGATGTTGTACACAGAGCTGCTGCGGCTGTGGGATGAGGCGGTGAAGGCCATGGATGCCCGGGACTGGCACAGGGCCCTGGAGACGGCGAGGAACGTCTCGGAGCCCAACGGCCGCACGCTGTTTATAGAAGCCTCTGCCCACCTCGCCCTGCAGGAGCTGGAGCCTGCGCTACAGGTCTGGGGAGGTGGTGGTGGTGGGGGGGGGGCATGCTACACATCTGAGGAGGTGGGGGGGGGGGCAATGCTACAGGTCTGGGGAGGTGGGGGGGGGGGGGGCATGCTACACATCTGGGGAGGTGGGGGGGAGGGCATGCTACCTGTCTGGGGAGGTGGGGGGGGGCTACAGGTCTGGGGAGGTGGTGGTGGAGAGGGCATGCTACCCGTCTGGGGAGGTGGTGGTGGTGGGGCGGCGTACTACACATCTGGGGTAGAGCTGGTTGATCTTAGCAAAAACGTTAATCACGATTATTTGGGTCAAGATTGAGATTATACGATTCTAAAGATGATTATTCATTGATGTTAAGGGGAAATAATATATTTATTGTAATTGTTTGGCACAGAATGCTTCAATATCTCTGAAACAAGCTTTGTGTCGATGTTCTGGTGGTCATGGATCTCGGCCTCACGAGATCCATTTCTGGATTAGCTCGTCGGTTCATGTGCGTTTGGGGTCGGACACGCTATTCTGCCCCATTGTGTACATGTTGACATGACGTGGAAATGCAGGCA